TTGACACCAACTGGAACCTTGTTAAATTGTTATGAGAATTAAATGAGGTAACACATGTAAAGCATCTTACAACCTGTTCGGCAAATGGTGAGTTTTCAAAAAACGTTACTCTTATTGCATCTCTTCTGTGGCAATTCATATGGAATTTGAGGATGCTCTTGCTCTTCTATGTAAGAAACACAACCTCAGACAACTAAATAAAAGAGGAAGCTCGTGTTGATCCAACTCAGAGAAATAATGGCCGGTGGTGGTGGGAATAGAGAGAGGTATCTCAAGGCCAGTTCTACAAGAGCAGATCTCTTCTTCCTCATCCCCAAGAAGTGTAAGAAAAGCAAGCTTGTTCCAAGCACCTTACATATATTATCTCATGTATCTCTGCCTTAATCATCTAGTGCTGCACCAACAGAAATACCACAAGTTGATGGATTTAGCAAAGAGAAGTTTTATTCTCTCACAGTCCAGTAGGCTACAAGTCCAAATTCAGGACATCAGATCCAGCAGAAGGCTTTCTCTCTCTGTCGGCTCTGGAGAAAGGTCCTTGTGATGCATCAGACTTCCCTTGGTCTGGGAGCTTCTCTGCGCAGGAACCTCAGGTCCAAAGGATGCGCTCTGCTCCCGGCACTGGTTTCTTGGTGGTATGAGGTTCCTATGTGTTTCTGCTCGCTTCTCTCTTTTATATCTCAAAAGGGATTGCATTAAGACACTATCTAATTTGTCAACCTCATCAGTATAACCTCATCACAGTGACAGAATTTACAACACATAAGGAGATCACATATAATCTCATCATAGTGATAGAGTTTATAACCCATAAGGCAATCATATCAGATTACATAATCATACAACACTGGGAATCATGACCCAGCCAAGCTGACAGATATTTTGGGGGGACACAACTCAATCCATAACAATCTCATACTCTACTGTGAAACACACGGGGTAGCCATGAGTTGGAGTCAACTCATCTGGTGGTGGTGGATCCCATACAACAACCCGGTCTTTACATATAAAGAAACTGAGGCTCAGAAAGGTTAAGTCACTTGCCCAAGATCACACAGCTACTGAGTGGTGAAACAAGATGTCAAAGCCAGGTCTGATCCCCAAACTGGTGTTATCTGCACTGTGTCTCGCTGAAGAGTGAGGGAGCAGGGAAGAACTGAGCAGCGAGAGCCAAGGACAGGGGATCGAGACCACACCCTTCTTTGGGGGGCCTGGGGAGATTCTCATCTGGGGTTGCTGGCAGGCAAAGCTGCCTGTCTGGCGTGGGGAAGCCTGGCAGGAGCACAGAGTGGCCTCTGCAGCTGGACCTGGCTTCTGCACTCAGTGACCTTCTGGAAACTCAGGCTGGGGATGGGAGTGGGGTTGCCGCCACCCTCTGAGCCTGGACCTCTCCATCACCCACCTGCCCTGCCATATCAGAGCATGGGGGAGGCGAGTGCGGGAATTCTTCCTGGGACAGCCTGCCTCATCCCTTCCTCCAGGGTCCAGACCCAAGCCCTCTGCCCCCATTCAACCCTGGGAGGCTGTCTGCTTTTATCTGTGCCTCTCAATACCTCCTCCCTGGTACCTTCCTTCCTTTCTGATTGTTAATCACAATGTCTTGTCTACATTTTTTGAAAAAGAGGGTGAGGGGTGGGGAGAAAGAGTAAATATCCAGGAATTGTTTCCCAGCTGCTGCTCGTGTTGCTTGGAGTGAAGCTGTCTGCCCCTTCCTCCTGCCCAGGTTGGCAAGGAGCCTGGCCTCCTGTCCCTCCCTCTTTTCCTTCTCCCAGCCTCACTCTTCCCAGATGCCCACCCACTCTTCCTCCCCCTTAAAAAAAAAGAAAAAACTCACAGGAAAACTGCAGACTTGTCACTCACTTTTTCCTGAGACAGCTGCTTTCTCTCTGTGTCTCTGCTAGGAGGAACCACCATCACTTCCTCCTGCTGCAAGTACACATGGGGTAATATGAGGAGGCAGGGGCTGGGGAACAGGTACAAGTGAGCTTGCAGGGGATGATGTCTCCATATTAGAGGAAAAGGTCCTGGGGTGGAAGGATCGGAGGTCCAGGAGACATGAGCCACTAAAATGCACCCTAAAGAAGAATGGAAATGGCCGTGGGTCAGAAGGTGTGACCATGTCGAGAGGACCCAGTCCAGAGGTAGGGTCTTCCTTGGAGGGTGCTTGATCTAGGAGAGGCTCCCATTTACATGGGTCAGAGGCATGGAGAGGGCAGCAGAATTTCCCAGAAGGCTCTTACTAAAAAATAGCTATCTGTAAGATGGAAACTGAGATCCTAAAGAGAGAGAGAGAGAGTAGAACTGTCTGAAAAATCAAAGTAAACCACATCTCACATCATCGTACTTCATTATGACAGATATCTTTAGCCAGGTCTAAAGCACATGTGAAGTGAAAAAAATCAAAATATCGTCTCCAGCCAATATAACCTCCACCCATAAGCTATGGGCCCAGGTCCAGGTGGCGCTGACAAAAGTGTGTCTAGTGTGAGACAGGCAACCTCTCTGGGCCTCAGAGGGGATAAGGAGCCCATCCTCCTTCCCATGGGGGATCTCAAGGATCAGACAAGAGTAACTGAAGTGAAAGTACTCTGGAAGCATGATGCTCTCAGATGTTCACTGTGGTGCCATGAATTATGGCCCTTCTAGCCATGGTCTTTGTGACTTACACATAATGATTGAGTGGGACTATGCAAATAAGGTACATAGAACCCGTGATGACTAGGGTTATGTGTCAAGTTGGCTAGGCCATGATTCCCTATATTGTACGGTTGTTCTCCATTTTATGTGTTGTGGATCCTGACCTCTACGTGTTAATGAGACAGGATTGGTGTGGGGTGTATCCCGAGTTGCCTTGTGGGAGGGTGTGATTCAAGTCCCACCCTTACTCAAGTTACACCCTTCCCTGGGGTGTGGCCTGCATCTAAGATATATGTGTGTGTCTTGGCAGGTCTCTCTGTCTGCATCTGGATTCTGCATCTGGTTCATGATCAAGTGACCTCCGGTTCTTGGGACTTGAGCCAGAGGCCTGTTGTCTGACATGACGATTCTAGGATTCGCTGGCTCCACAGCCCCGTGGGCCGGTGGCCCATCATCTGACCTGATTCACCAGTTTCCGCAGCTTTGTGAGCCAGCAGCCTGTGGTTTGAACTTCGGTTCGAGTTCTTCAGCCTCTGCAGCCACATGGGTCAGGAGAAGCCTACGCTTGACCCATGGATTTAGGACTTGCCAGCCTCTACAACCACATGAGCCACTTCCTTTATATGGTTCATGAGTTATGTGAGATGTTGCAGCGAATTAGGGAACCCAAAGACGAGAGGAAGTACTGAGGGGAGTGGGAGTAGTTGATGTTAGAGATGATGGAGTGGTACAGCAGTTTGGAAAAATTGGATATTTGGGACATCTTTAACGTTTGCCTCATAGGAACCAGCTTTATGCTGATCCTTATAAAAAGAAATCATTCATTTATTCACCAACACCACAAGTCGATGGGCTCAGAGCCCCTCCCTGCATCGCTGGAAGGGGGAGAAGCCAAAGGAACACTCTTTCGCTCATTTCCTTGGTGCCACACTGGGCCACACTTCACCAGGAGAAGTATGGAGTGATGTGGGAAAGGATGCTGTTCTCCCCACTCCCCCAAACCAGGAGTCTTCCTGAAGGCATGGCCGCTCCTTCACCCCACATTCTTTTTTTTTTTTTTTTCTGTCTTTCTCCTTAGATTTTCAACTCAGATCACAAAATGGAGGCAGGGAGCTGAAAACCTTTGCGAGGGACCAGGGAGAGTGGGAGGTGGGGGTGTGAACCAGCCAGGGAAGGGCCAGGGCCATCAGAGTCATTAAAAGCCAGCTGATTTTCGGATTTATTTTAGACTCCACCCACCTCCATGCAGTTCTGCTTTAGTACGAAGCAAGACAGGGGAGGGTGGGATTCCAAGGTGACTTAAACCAAAACCCAGTTGCCTTTTTGACACCATGTGTTTCAGAGTAGAACTGTGCTCCATAAGGTTTTCAGTGGCTGATTTTTCAGAAGCAGATCACCAGGCTTTTCTTCTGAGGTGCCTCTGGGTGGATTTGAACCTCCAACCTTTTGGTTAGCAGAGGAGCAATCATTTGTACCACCCAGGGACTCCCAAGCTGACTTAGGGAAAGGAAAATACGCATATATGTAGAACATTTACTAGAAGCTCACCCTGGGCTAACAGCTTCACCTCCATGGCTCATTTAGTTCCTACAACACCCCATTAGTAGATACTATTGCTGTCCCCTTTTTGTAGAGAAGAACTGAGGCTTAAATGTGTAGTCACAGAGCTAGTGAGTGAAGAGTCTGGATTTTCATGCTTGTAGCCTGACTCCTCCCCTTCCTCCCCACCCACCTCCCCCCACTGGCACATGGGGTCTTTTGCTGTGACTTCCCCTGTTACCGGATTGGGGGAATGCAGGAAAAACCTCAGCCCTCTCCCACAGGGCCTCAGGCAGTGATAGCTACTTCCCGGATAAGAAGGCAGCTGTGAAGCCAACAGCAAAGCCAGCACCAAGGCCACAGATCCTCCAGCCTCCTTGCAGCTCCCCAAAAGCCCGACCTGCTGGCCCTCGAGGACTGGAGGTCCAGGTGCTCCTAAAGGAAATTCAGGTAAGTGTTGCCATCTCTCAAGAAAGAAGGGCCTCAGGGCTTTAAGACAACTGGCTTTTCTGCATGATCCACAGATTCTCCAGGGATGAATTAGAGGGGTGTGTGTGTGTGTGTGTGTGTGTGTGTGTCCCACACTCACAGCCCAACTGGCAAGACACAGCAAGAGCTCCTAATGAAGGGACAAAGTCAGAAGGAAGTAGAGGTTGGAGGCCGCCTGGGCCTAGAGGTGGGGCAGGACTAGCTGGGGCTGGGAAGAAATCTTGTAGACCAATAAGAGTTCTGGTCTCACCCAGCTCGGAAGCCCCATCATAAAGCATCTCTGCTCTTGGGTCAAAGCTGGAAAGTGAGTTGTATGTTACTTATTCACTGTTTGAATGCTAAACTTCCTTTTCTTGCCTCTTCAGACCCAGATCTTTCCATCAAACCCTCCAGTCCCTCTCCCTTCTTCTGGGGACAAAAGACAGGCTTCCAGGTCTCCTTTCTCTTCCAACCCTGCCTTCTTCCCAACAGGTATCTGCCGGTCCTGATGTCGGTCAGACCTAGCTCGGGGCCTGGCTCCGAAGGGGCTCTCACTGTGCCTGCCGGCGACTTTGCAGAGATTCACAACTGGAGCGAACTGCTCTACTTCTTCAACCACAGTTTGCCCGAGTGCTACGTGGAGTTCAGCGAGAGCACCAAGCGCGTGGTCCTCTTTGTGCTCTACCTGGCCATATTTGTGGTTGGGCTGGTGGAGAACCTCCTGGTGATATGCGTCAACTGGCGCTGCTCGGGCCGGGTGGGGCTGCTGAATTTCTACCTCCTCAACACGGCCATAGCAGACCTGGGCATCATCCTGTCCCTGCCTGTGTGGATGCTGGAGGTCACGCTGGACTACACCTGGCTCTGGGGCAGCTTCTCCTGCCGCTTCACTCACTACTTCTACTTCGCCAATATGTACAGCAGCATCTTCTTCCTGGTGTGCCTCAGCATCGACCGCTACATCACCCTCACCAACGCCTCACCCTCCTGGCAGCGCCGCCAGCACCAAGCACGGCGGGCCCTGTGTGCAGGCATCTGGGTCCTCTCAGCCATCATCCCACTGCCTGAGGTGGCCCACATCCAGCTGGTGGAGGCCTCCGAGCCTATGTGCCTGTTCATGGCACCCTTTGAAAGCTACAGCGCATGGGCCCTGGCGGTGGCCCTATCAACCACCATCCTGGGCTTCCTGCTGCCCTTCCTTCTGATCGCCATCTTCAATGTGCTGACGGCCTGTCATCTCTGGCGGGCAGGACAGCCCGAGGGCCGGCGCCACTGCCTGCTGATGTGTGCCTACATAGCCGCCTTCGTCATCTGCTGGCTGCCCTACCATGTGACCCTGCTGCTACTCACACTGCACGGGACCCACATCTCCCTCCACTGCTACCTGGCCCACCTGCTCTACTTCTTCTACGACGTGATCGACTGCTTCTCCATGCTTCACTGCGTTGTCAATCCCATCCTTTACAACTTTCTCAGCCCAAGCTTCCGGGGCCAGCTACTGAGTGCTGTGGTCCATTACCTTCCCAAGGACCAGGCCAGGACGGGGAGACGGGCTTCCTCCTCCTCCTCCTCCACTCAGCATTCCATCGTCATCACCAAGGAGGGCATGCGGCCCACGGCAGGCCCCCAAGCCGTGCCCGCCCAAGCCTGAACTTTCAAGCAGCCTCTTTGCCTCCAAATACTTTGCCCATCTCCACACCTCTATCTTTCTGTCCAGCTGAGGTAGATTCCCATTTCCACCAGTGAAGTAGAAAAGCCAGAGGTGAGGGGAGAGATTTGGAAGGGGGCAGGGGAGCGGGTCAGAGCACTCATGGCTAATTTTGAGCATGTCTTAAAATATCTCAAGGTGGGGGAGAGAGAGAAGGGACAGGGTAGGGTAGACAGCAGGCCCTAGGTGTTGTACTATTTGTCACGGTCCTTGTGTGTAAGGGAGCCATCCAGGAAAAAAGGTGAAATAAATAGAGACAGCCGCAACTCTGGATCTCTGAAAAATCTGTGCTTCCAGGGGGGTTGGGAAGGGAGCTAAGGCTAAAGAGATGCTCTGCAGAGGAAACTGGACGCCCTCATTTCATAAATCACCCCGGCCGGAAGGAGTGAGCTCTGCAGGAACCTCACAAAACCTTCCTCTGGTGTTTGTGTGCTTGTTGATCTCCCAGCACAGGCAGGTTGAGGGGACAAGAGGCCAGAGGCCAAGGAACCAGAAGGCCTCAGCAGGGCGTTCCTGAGCTGTGCATCCTCAGCACTGTGATAAGTGGAGGGGGTGGGGACCACGGGGGTGGGGCTAGCCGAGGTCAGAGGCAGGCACCCTGCAGCTGGGCTAGCAGGATGGTCTCTCCACCACCACCCTCATCCAGGAAACAGAGCTCCATTTCCTTGCCATACCCTTCCCTTCTTCCATCCTGCTCCCCTCCCCCCTAGAAGCAAAGGAGCTCTTCCCAAGTATTCAAATCAATACCCCTCAGACCTAACTTCCTCCCAGCTTTGGATCTAGGACATTTCCAGATGCTTCAGAAATCGTCCCATCTCTCCCTTTCCGTCCAGATCACAAGAAAACATCAAGGGACATCCACTCTGGGATCAGACCCTGGGACAGCCAGCAGCAGGCACTGACAGATGCTCTGTCCCTCAGCCTTTGTCCCCTGCAGGGCGGCGGACGGGGGGTGGGCCAAGTAGAAATTTTCCAATTCTGCCACAAGGCAGAGTTCTGGCATTCTTCTAAATCAATTCTCACCCTTATACGTCTTTCTCCCTGGCCAAGTCTTCATAATTTTCCTATCCAACAACATACTATTAACACTTGTCCTATACATAGGAAGAGAAGCCCCCCTGTTAACAAGTAGGTCTTCTGGAAAAGGCTCATGCATCAGTTTGGGAAACTATGACCAAGTCCACCAAGAACTCTGACTTGAACATAAGCCTAAGAACAGGTCCTAGTTTCTGCCTTCCAGCACCAAGTCCTTGGCATCTTCATCCTGTTTGTACAGGGTGAAGGGACTGTGGCTGCACTCAGTGACAACCTCTTTAGTGTCTCCTCGTTCCTGCTGAAGTACTCAGTGTGTCTGAAACATTTAACTTGTAATGACTACTCACTTACCAGAGAACTGTCTCCTCTGCTCTTAGAATCTGTAACTGCATTCACCAGAGGCATTGAACATGTGCTCCAATGGTGTATGTACCAGGCTTTGCCAGGAACATGGCGGGAAGCCTGAATCGACAATCCCTCTGCTCGCTGGGCCCACACTTCAAAGAGTCTTAAGTTACAAACAGCTGTTCAATGGCACAGAGCTGAATGCTTTTCGAACCAGGAGAGTATGGGTTGCAGCTTGGGGTTGTAATAAGGGCTTAACATCACAATGCAGAAAATGCACTAAAAAGACGTTCTTCCCTCGTCCCCACATAAAAACCAAGCCAAGATCTGATGCCCATATCACTTCCTCCAACTTGGGCTCCAGAGGTTTTCCAAAGGAAACCCAATCTTACATCTGCCACATCCCAGGTCAACTCAGAGGCCTCTTCCCCAAGATCTCACTCAACCTCTCACTGACTTCAACCCAGCAACCAGTTATCACCCTGGCAGCATAACTTCCTTGGGGCCCTTCCTTCTGTGGAAGGGAGACTGGGAGCTGGCTATGCCAACTGCAGCAGGCTGTTGTGCTCTGCTCAAGTATACGAGCACAGAAGGGAGCCAGGACCCGGCCTTGTGCTGAGACCAGATGGATGCATCACTCCCCCATTTCTAGGTTTCATCTCCTTCTCTGTGGGAGGGCATTTGTATCAACCTCATAAAATTACGCCAAACCTCTGCCTCCTCCCCATTTTAATCTTCCTGTTTCCTCTTACTCTCCATCAACCCTTCCCCGCTCAGACATGTCGCGCCACAGTAAATGAAACAGTATTGGCAAGACAATTCTGTGGCCAAATCTCTCACTTAACAATGTGCAGTCTAACTGCCCATGGGCCTCTCTGGGCTAACAGAAAATGTCCCCATGAAAACATTGGATCATTGACTTAATTTCCCAATAAAAACAGATCAAGGAACTAGTCCTGGGGAATTCCAGCCACAGGAAAGAAAAATGTGCTACCTGTAAAAATTCTGGCATCTGCTGAGCAGAACACTGTTACTGAAAGGATGATGAGCCCAGATATTCTGAACTCAAGGGATGAGCGTGTTCACAGCCAAGAAGAAAAGAACTCATGTTTCCATTTTCCTTTTTTTATTCTAAATAAAAACCACACTTTGTGCCGAACAATGGAATATAAAAGAATCAGATGTACAACGATTTTAGACATCTACTATTTGGGAAAAAATGTTTACAAAATATACAAAACTTTACAGCAATAGATAGTAAACACTTAAATATTAGGAGGTCAGTACTTATTATTAATTTAATGGAAAGTGTTAGATGTCAACAACTCTTCTCTGCTTCATAAAAGAGCCTTTTGCTATTGGAGGTGGAGGGGAGGGTGGGCTGGACAGGGAAGGGGTGTTAAAGAAACATCAACATCAAAACAATTTCATTTTCATTCTGATGCGACATTTTCAGTGAGTAATCACATTGAAAACTAATGCTGTGTCCCCTGCTTCCTGATGTTCACAGGATTCAGGGCAAAGGCCATGTGGGAACTCCCAGATGGGCAAAGACCTCTCCACACACCCCATGCCAACAAATTCAGTGTGTCCACCTGTAAAGAGATTTTAATTCACTTCCAAAGTTGAGGACTCCTGATGAAAAGGGGCACAGCAGGAGGCCGCAGAGATGGCTGGGAAGAAAAGTTACCAGTAGCAAAAACCCAACCGGGGAGAAGGTATTTAAGCCCAAAGGCCTGTCCTGGAGACAAAGGGGTGCTGACAGAAGTAAAGCCAGAAAGAACTTTTACTCACTGCCGGGTTCTTAGGGGTCGTCTAGGCCTGACCCTCACCTCTTTTCTTCCCAGCAAGCCATGGGGTCTTAAAAGTTAGGACCAAATACTAGGGTAGAGCAGAGCTTCCCAGCTGGTGCTGTGGCACCAGTGAGCCATGACTGGGTCACAGGAGTGCTGGGATATGATGCCCTCCTCTGGCCACAAGCAGCCTCCACTGTCTATCTCAGTGTGCCATACAAACAGTACCATCTTCCCTCAGGAGAACAAGTTGGGAAGGCCCCATGCTTGGTTTCATGATCTACTATTGCCATCTTGAAGTTCTTAACAATTTTTGAACAAGGGGCTCTGCAAATTATGTAGTCAGTCCTGAGTACAGAACAGGAGAAAGAGGAAAAGGGAAAGAGAAGACATTCAAGGGTCAAACAGAATCTCAGAGCAAAACAGGAGACAGTGCTGAACTGGGCTCCAGGGGAAGAGGGGCAACAAAATCAAATGGACAGAAGGTTGAAAAAACAAACACTCAAAATAAAGCAAATACCTTCCACCAGGTATCCCTGGTGGCGCAGTGATTAAGAGCTAGGGCAAACCAAAAGGTCAGCAGTTCAAATCCACCAGCCGCTCCTTGGAAACCCTATGAGGCAGTTCTACTCTGTCCTACAGAGCTACTATGAGTTGAAATCGACTCAAAGGCAACGGGTAGTAGCGGTAGGTATCCTACAGCACCCTCTGCCGCAGGTAACACAGTTCAGAAAAGGGGGCGCTATAGGCAGAGGAAACAAATGTGACTTCAAACAGAGGGAGAGATCAGGTGTGACTATGGGGACAGGCAGAGGAAGAGGGTTTGGTCAGTGAGCCTCATGAGCTCCTAATCTGCTACATATCTGACTGGGAACAATTGGGTCACCTTGATCAACCACTTAGCCTAGTGGGGCAGGGGGCCCAGTCTTTTGTTTAGTGTTTCAGGGGCAAAGTTTCAAGGATTGGCTTTTTGGTTTCCTGGCAAAAAGGGAAAATTTCACAGTTTCACATTAAGTATACAGACCACCCAGCATCCAAGATGCCCTGTTAAAGAAAAGGGTTGCTCCAGTAGATTTATTTCTCCACTCTCAGCTACCTGACTGGGTTCCAGTAAGTACCGCCTCTCTGTCCTCACTGCTAGTCCAGCAAGGATCACCCAGGCTTGAAAGCCTTAGCAGATACACAACTGCAGTCTTTCCCACATTCTCCCTCTTAAGATTTCTAATGGTCAGTGAAAGAAGCCAGTCAGTAATGAAAAGTCCGAGCACTGCTTTCCTGACAAGAATGTCTCAAGGGGACATCTAACAAGTTGGGTTTAGATGGTGAAAGGTGGGTCTTCCACCTAGCCACTACACAAGTCCCTTCATCTAATGTCACCCCACCAGAGAGCCATGTGCTCCAACTCTGAGGCTTCTCCAATTCAGGGCTGGGGAGACAGGCAGCAGTCCATCAGGTAGGGAGATGTGGTTTGCCTGTATGTCTTAATGAAGACAAGGACAGGAGACTTTCCAAATTTAGGAAGGATAAGAAAATGTGCAAATAGGTCCTTCATGAGACACCATCCCTCAACTCAGTCCCCGGTCTACTCCATCACAGGATGGAATGGGGATGAAAGACCTGGGAATTTCACTGGACCCTATTATTGAACTGCTCTTGGTCCCAACTTTCTAGAACGTACGTCCATTGCTTTAAGTGTCCTCTGGGTTTACTCTGCTGAAGACTACCTGGAGGGAAAGAATCTGCTTGTTGAAAAGGCTTTACATGTTCTCCCATAGTTACACCCCTGCCTCCAAATCTCTGGCCAGGA